TGTGACCTGGGACTGTTGATGTGCCACCATCCGGAGCTGTGGCCCTGAGTGCTAGAAAGGAGAAGGCTCCCTGTAGGATGTTCCTCCATCTGTGCCCATGTAAGAGGTCTGATGCTGAGGTTGGGGTGGGAGGGATCTGTGGGAACCCCAGCCTGTGGGATATTCTCCAATTCCAGATGTAAGGTTCTGGTTTTCAGCTCACCAGAAGGCCCTTTGTACCCTCCTGTGGGCAGACTCTCCATGAATGTGAGTGGAGTGAAAGGAAGGATGAGTGGGTGAAGGACTCGAGAAAGGAAGGAAACAGAAAAGATATAAAAACACAAGTGGGCTCCACAGAATGGTGATGGAGAAACAGTTAAGAACAGACAAATAACAAAAGCAAAAAGCCAGTGACTGTGAGACGATGTCTGGGTAGAAACAGGAATGCAGGCAAGGTAATATCAGGATCTCCTCTGTCCTTGGTCTCAGGCCACAGGGACCCAGGACAAGGACGGTCAATGTAGGTGGATCAGAGGATTCCCAGCACAGGGTCATGAGACTTGTGAGTCAGGGCCAAGGCAAGTGGAAAAATCCAGGCTCTGCAGAGCCACCAGGATGCTGGGAGGCTAAAGTGGATTGAATTATGTCCCCCTAAAACTCACTGAAGCGTGTGTTGTGTCCCCTAAGTTTTACGTGTTAGAAACTTAGCCTCCACTGTGACTGTTAAGAAGGTGGGAAATCCTATTACAGTAATTGAAAGGTGGGGTTTGACCAGGTGATTGGATTGTAAGACTATGCTCTAGTCAATGGATTAATAATGGTGGTCAGGGGCGTGGCTTGGAGGGGTATAAAAGAAGAGAGAGAAGAATCTGTCTTTCTCTCTCTGGTCTCTATTCCGACATTTCACAATGTGATACCCTGTCATCACTGTTGTCACCACCAAAGCCTTCATTAAATATGTTCCCTGGACTTTGGACTTCCTAGCTTCAGAAATGGTAAGCAATAAATTATGCTTTCCTATCAATCACCCAGTTCTATGTATTTTGTTATAAGCAAAAGAAACAGACTAATACAGAGACTCAGCCTCCTCAGCTACAAACTGCACTAGTGTCTGTTTGGAGCAGAAGAGGCTGGAGGCTCACACTAGACAGGCAAATGCAGGGCACATGCACCACCATCTCCTCTGATTGTGTGTCATGTGTCACCTCTCACGCTGGGGCCTCTTCCAGCTGAGCTGCCTCACAGGCCTCCTCCGCATTGGCTCCAGGGATCAGTCCCCATCCACTGGCCTTGGGGATTGCAAGTTTCCCAGAAGCAGACACTGGGACCAGGACGGGGAGGTGGGCCCAGTAAATAATCACCAATGTATGTGTGTGTAGGGGGGGGGAAATAGGGAAGGGAAGGGAACCATTCCAGGCTGCCACTATGGACAACTAAGGCACCAACCCTGCTCTGACCAGCCTCCTGCTCTCCACTCACCACCCCACAGACAGTCCCATGACAAGCCATTCTTTAAATCCACTGCCCTTTATGAAGGCCCAGAAGTACCTTCTGCTTTCTCTTACCACAGTGGTGCAAAACCACCATAACAGGGAAGCATATTTTGATATTTCAAGTGATTCTGGTAGCTGAACTGTTCTCCTTTAGGGGAGAGTGAACAGATTTGCAGAACTAAATTTCCTACATATATCAACCAGACAATAAAATAGAATGAGAATGACTTAAATAGTGTTAACTTTTAAAAATTAGCCTCAAATTCTAATACAATGAAGAAGCAAAATGATGTCAGCCTAAATAACAAACCAAGAGAGGCTCTCTAAAGAATAGCAAGTTTAGTGTTTAATCGGGAATGAACAGAAAGATGTGCACATCTAGAATGTGCAGGCTATGGGGACTGCAGACATATCAAAGAACACTAAGATAAGGGGAGACTTTTAAAGGCAGAAGGGAAAGCTACATGTAACTTGATTTGAAAGAAAGGGAACATTGTTTACAGGAGCTTATCCAAGTAGTTGTGGCCAGTTCCTTAGTGGAGACGGTGTGTCAGGCAAGGGTTCTTGGACACCCAGCTTGCTGTCCTTGTGACTCACATAGCAAGGCATAGCTTGAAAAGTTACATGTGTGAGCCTTTCAGAGAGTCTTTATAATAGTTCTTGTTATGCATCTGGTTTGAGGGCCCTCCTTTCTCAGCCTTCCAGCTTTACTTATTTATTTCTTGTTAGGATGTGACACAGTTGTCTCCACTTTGATTCTGACAACGTGCATAGTAAGCAAAAATATAACAACTCACACTAAAAGTTTCTTAAAATAAACATAAATTTCAATAATATTTTTGAACAAAGAAGGAGACACCTAGTGGTCTCCGGTGCTCACTTTGGGATTTTGATGATGAGGGTCATCACAGGCTGAGTGATCCTTGGAGGTGACTCACTGCCATTTTGTGGATGAGGATGGGGGTGCCAAGGGAAAACCCAGGCCATGATGGGCAATGAGGACAGGCTTGCCTTGGTGGGAACAGGCTCAGTGGCTGCTGCCTTGGTGGGAACAGGCTCAGTGGCTGCAGTGAGGCTTCTGGGGACTAGAAAGTACAGGGCATCCCTTGCCAGGAACTTCATTTTTAGATCCACCAGGATCATGGTTGGGGAATGGAGGAAGACAAGGAGATGGAGGGTCTTGGCAGCCAAGGGAAGGGTCTGAGGAGAGGGGCCAGGGAACTTCCTTTCCCAGGGGAAGCAGCACTCAGTGCACAGAGATCAGGGGAAAATGCTCACTGACAAAGGTTCCACCAATATCAACAAAAGCCTGGGGATTCATTTCTCGAGGCTCAAGATAACTTGCCACTTGGGTCATTCTTTAGCTCAGTGCTGTAACCTTCTGTCTAGAAATCACAAGATTTCCTTCACCCACTCGAGCCTTCCACATATGATCATGAACTTTCAGTTCCAGCAAAGAGTTCACCTCTGAGAAGATTAAGTGTTTTTTTTCCATCTATCCTTTGGGACCTCTTTCTGGTCTCCAGCTCTTCATATTCACAGCTCATCGGTCATTGGCTTCAGAACATCCCATCTCTTCCTGCAAGTCACAATCCGCAATATGAGGTAAAATCCAAGATGCTTCCCTTTCTCTGTTGATAAAGCTCAGTCATTTCATTTCCTCCCCCCTCAAGACGTTGATCTGCCCATCTGATTGGGGCTTCCTCAGTCTGGACGTCTTTATGGTGGCCTGTCTGTCAGGTGGACTATTTTCTTCCTTTCTTCAGCCACATTGGTATACAACAGATTTGTCTTGCTACTCTGAAGATTGAAATGCACTCTTGACTCTGAAGCCTCCTTCTGTGTCCTACTAAATATTTTTGCTGGGTTGTCAACATTCCATCCCCTGATTCCACCTTATCAGCCATGTTTGTCCCCCAAGGGGAGCTGCCAGGACTTTGACCTTGAGCTAATGTCCTGCAGAGAAGTAGCCTAACTCTCACACAGGCTTTACTGATAACTGTGGAGACCCGGAGCCTTTTGTCAGTTGCTTACAGTAGTTTTAACTGTGTTTTAGATCTTTCTGCTTTTGCTTTTATGAAAGTGTTTTCATCTTCCTAAGCCTGGATCTGTCTTACAGGAGTAGACATCAACTGTTCTTGCTCTGAATCTTTTTAGTACAATATTATGCTACAATTCACATAATGTTCCTCAGCACAGGTACAGGTGTAAACATGTCCAGAGCACCAGGCACTTCTGTGCTGGCATCTTCCTCCAATCCAGGATGAAACTCGCTGAGAGCATTACCTTCTTGTACATCTAGTGCTGATCTGTTACTGGCAGGTTCCTTGTCTCACTGTAGAGAAAGGCTTTCTTTGACTGCCTAGAAAATTCTGCCTAAAAGCAAGAGAGCAGAGAACACCTGAACTATCTCAGCACTTTTCACCATTTCCCCTTAGTATCTAGGGACAACAAGACTTGGTATTTCATCATCAGTGGATTCTACCAGGAAACTCTTCAGCATCACTCAGGTTTGTCACAAATGCAGATCCCAAGCAGGATGAAGTCCCTCCATAGTAGCCCAATCTCCTCAATCTCATGCAGAGGTCCTTGCAGACAGTATAGCCAGTTGGAACACATCTCACTGCAGAGATCACTGATCTGGGTTCTGCCAGGAACCAATCATGTGCCAGGAAACCAAAGCTGACTGTAATACAATTATTGTAGTAGAGGAAAATAAACAAGAAATAATAAACACAGTAAGAGGGACACTTGGGACACTTGAGGACATTATGCTAAGTGAAATAAGCCAGTTACCAAGAGACAAAGACTGTATAATTCCATCTATATGAAGTACCTAAAGTAGTCAAGGTCATAGAAACAGAAAGTAAAAAATGATAACCAGGGCCTGGGGGTGGGGGAACAGGGAACTGGGGAGTTGTTTAATGGGTACAGAGTTTCAGTTTTATAAGATAAAAAATGTTATAGAGATGGATGTTGGCGTTGGTTGCACATTATGAATGTATTTACTACCAGTGTACTGAACAATTAAAACAGTTAAGTACAGCCTTGTAACACAAAGTTTATAGGATTGGATACCTGCACTGTCCAGGTGCAAAAAAAAGGAAGACATATATAGGAACTAAAAATTTTTTTTAAATAAAATAAATAAGCAAAATAGTTAAGATTGTAAATTTTTTCATGTGTATTATACCACAATTTTAAAAACTGATGAAAAAAGAGTTAATAGTAAAGTGGTTAGCAACCTCTGTTTTACAACCAGATTGCCCTGGTTCAAGTCCTGCCTCTGCCACTTACCAGCTGTATGACTTTGGACAAGATACATAACCAATCTTTACCTCAGGTGTTTAGTGATAAAATGGACATAATATTAGTGTGTTAGGCTGAATAAAGACATCATTCCCCACAAAATTTGTGCACATCCTAGTCCTTTTAAACTGTGAACCTTTAAATGTTACTTTATGAGGTAAAAGAGACATTGCAAATGTGATCGTACTAAGGATCATGACATGGGTAGAGTATAGTGGTTCATCCAAGTGGGCCCAATGTAATCTCAATGATCCCTATAAGAAGAAAATAAGAAGGTAAGTGTCAGTAGTATAAGATGTGCTACCCCAAGCAAGAAATTGGAATGGTGCCAAGAAGGAGTCATAGCCAAAAAATATTGGTGGACTCTAGAAGCAGATAAAGTTAGGGAAATGGATTATCACCTAGAGCTTCCAGAAGGAACCATACCTATTGACACCTTGAACTCAGACCATCCCAGCTGATATTGGAAATCTGAACTCCAGAATTGAAATATAATCATTTGTATTACTTTAAGACATTAAGTTTGTGGTCATTTGTTACAGTGGTAATAGAAACTAATATAAATACTATCTACCTGCTATGTTTATAAGAAAGACTAAGTAACATAAAACATGCAAAAGACCAAAAACAGTGTGAAGGGAATCAGAAGTCAATTGATGGGGGAAGGTGTTCATGGACCAGAAATTACATGTTTTGATAAGACGCTCAGGATAGTATAGCCCCCATTGAGAATCTGACTTTATATACCTGTATAAGACTTCCTGTCTGACCACACCATTGCCAACCCTTATACTAATACATTTTCACTTTCCAATCAAGAAGGTTTAAAATACATACAATATATTTTAATTTGCACTTTTAATTTTTTTCATGTTTAATAACCATTTGTATTTCTCTTTGGCCCCTCTTTGTGCTTATCATTATGAGGACCAGCATGGCTTCTTGGGTTCTTGTTTCTTACCTACATTACGCATAGAAGGATAAAAAGCTACTCACTAACCTTGCAATTAATAATATTTTATATTTAGAACATGCACTGAAAAAAATGGCTCTGAATTGGGATATGTTAACCATGTTTCATTCTTTTATAAGACATTTTAATATTTTCACATTAGGTAAGTGGTAACATATGTGGTGGTGAATACACAAGTTAGAGAGTGTAGGAAATAGGTATATTTGTCCGGGGAAATTTCAGAAACTCTCCTTAATGAAGGTTGGATGTTCATTTGATCTTGAGGTAATGGGAAATGTGAGAAAAGAGGTCAGAGAAGGAATACCCAATAGTAGAAGGAGGTGGCCAACACCCCAGAGGAGGAAAGTTTGCAGACAACAGCACAGCAGCAGTG